ATAAAGTATAGTTAAGAATAGTAATAGACTTTATAGTTAAGCTACTACCATCGAAAGAACCTATAACAAATACAACCTACAATAGTATACTTATAATAAACGATATACTAATAAAGTATATTTACCTACTACTATATAAAGAAGTATTAATAGTAAAAGAACTAGTATATATAGTTATAAGAATAGTATTCGTATAGTACGAAATACTAGAAGTTATTATTACGAATAGAGATAAACTATTTAATTTATAATTTTAGTAGTCGTTAATCGACCTACTAGAAATAAAATATAAGATATCTATATTATACTACCTATAAACGGACGGATAAACGAAGAGAACGAACTAGATAATAGAATAATACCTACGATACTACGTAGATTACTAATAAAAGAACTAGGTTAAACTATTATTAATAGCTTAGTTCGCTTTTAATAATAACGTATCGGCAACCGGAATATTACTATTCTTTACGAATTACGGAAGATACCCGAACTTTAAGAAAGAACTATTAGGAAATAGACCTATAGTAGAAAAGGTAAGAATAAAAGTAGAAGACTTATATAAACTATACTTTCTACTAAAAACGAAATTAGATAGAATATTAAAAATAACTATAAAAATAGTAAATAAGAAAAGATCTAAGGGACTAGACTTCTAGGAAGGAGAAATAGTTTACGTTAATATAAAAAATATAAAAATATAGAGACTAAGTAAGAAACTAGACTATACGAAAATTAGTCTATATCGAATTAAGAAAATACTAGAATTAGTCTTTTATAAGCTATAACTACTAGGAGAACTAAATATATACCTAGTATTCTATAAATCGCTATTAGAGAAGGTACTAAAGGAAGCTAGACTAGAACTAGTATATATCGATAAAGAAACCTAAGAACTCTATTATAATATAGAAACTATACTCTAGTATAGGTAAGAAGATAACTAGATAAAATACCTAATTAAATAGTTAGAATACCTAGAAGAGGAAAATACTTAGGAACTAGAGATAAACCTTAATCCGAAACTAGTTACTCGTTATCGTTTAGGGAACCTAGAACTTATTCTTAATCTACCGAATCGGTTACGAATTAACTATTAAAGATAAACTCGAGTTCGGTAAGGGCTAACTCGTAGTTAATACCGACGGACGTCTCTACGAACTCGAAGACGCTTAATACTTCTATTTCGCGACGAAGTATACGACTAGACTATACCTCTAGTTAAGCTATAGAATCCTAGAGGTCGCTATCGAACTCCTCGGCGTTAAGAAGATCCTTCTAGACTTTTAGTAAAACTTAACGAAGTCGAGCGATCTCGCGGCGTTTCCGGCGGAATTTAGATTAAAGCTATTTCTTTTATTCCCTAACTCTTCGAAATTCTTCTACGGAAAAGGTACTATTATAGTTTCTCTAGTACCGAAGATATTCGGAGTATTTTACCGACTACTCTCGATTATAAAAATAGATAACGTTATAGTTAATATATTCGATATAGGCGACTATAGCGGCGTTATTAGGATCGGAAGATATAGCGTTCGTAATTTTAAGGCGACGCGCGTTCTAGTTACGAACGGGTTTAGAAGATCGGCGGCTCTTCTTAATGCCTAAGGGCGATATAGTTAGCTATAAGGAAGAAGGAACGAAAATCGCGACGGAAGAGGGGCGACTACCTTAAGTACGTTAAGGATAACGTAGATAGAAGGAGGGAATAGTATTACGAACTAGGTTACGAATAAGGTCGCTAGAATAGGTACTCCGCGTTCTAAGGGATAGTTTAAGGAAGATTAGTCGATAGAGAACGAGGCTATATTATATAACTAGGGAATATATTACTATATTACTATATTACTTCTAATATAGTAATATACTAAAGTAGTATTTTAAATATTATATATATACGCTCCTTTACCTAGATAGTACGATTCGTAGTTAACTTCGTTAGTAATCCTATATCTATATTTTAGGATGTAGTCCGACGAATAAGTATTCCCTTTATTATCCTAGTTAGTACTCTAGTACCTACTCTATTAAGGAACCCTACCTTAGTTAGAACTACTTATAGCTCGGATTATAATATTC